TGCTGCTTTCCCTGTAGAGACTTTCCCTCCAAACCTGTATTAAAGTGTGTGTGTGTGTGTGTGTGTGTGTGTGTGTGTGTGTGTGTGTGTGTGTGTAATAAGGTCTACTAATGTTGTGAGGTATTTATAACAGGGAACACATGAATACTCCTAAAGCTAAGTAGAAAGACTGTATCACCGGCTGTTGATTGCACGGGCAACTTGCCCAAATCATACTGCTCCAAGCTTTATTTTTTTTCTTTTATGCACAAAAATCACATCCTGGCTGATACACTTTAGTTAGCAAGAACATTTAGGGAGAAGCCAAAAGGCAAGGTTAGTATATTTAGGGACTTTCCTAGATCCTGGAACTATGGCCTAGGTCTTTGATGGTTTGGATCTTTGTTCCCATTTTGGCAGGTGTTGGGACCAACATGTTAGGTTCTAATGTCAGAATGGCAAATCCAACATGGTACCAGTTGTGCTAAGGTCTGGGGTCCTGTTACACTACTGTAACCATTTTAAGTACACAGTTCAATGGTCTACATATATTTCCACTGATATGCACCCCCATCTCCAGAACCCTTTATCTTCCCAGTTGAAACTCTGCACCCATTAAATACAACCTCCCCCATTCCTCTGGTAACCCCGTTCTATTTCCTATCTTCATGAGCATGACTATTGTAGATCTTGAGAGTTCTGTTTTTATAAGAGATATGAGTCTTACCATGTTGCACACATTGTCTCACATTCCTAGGCTCAAGCAACAATTCTGTAGTTACTGTAGAGAATATAACAAAAATAGCCATTGCTACCCTGATGTGATCAAAGCCAGAACTGTGAGTCTCAGGAGGTTAAAACGATGATAAACTTCACAACTATTTACAGAATCAAGTTGCTGCCACAATTATACATATTGCTTTTTCTGAGCGCAAGGGGCACCACCCTAGATAGACTTACTTTGTTTTTTATTTTAAGCACTTAGATTTATTCTGGCTCTCTTTCCTGCATTTATCCTAAATTAGGGGGTGGGGGGAGGAGAGACACTGAAAAGCAATGCACTGGACTATTGCCAGTGTCACTTCTGGATAGTAGAAATTTAGTAATTTTAACTTCCTTCTCTACGGTTTTTCTGCATTTCTAAAATTTGTGCTGTACTGGTAGAACCCTTGCCCCAAATAATCCAAGATTTAAGCTTCTCACAGAACCATCACAGAAGCTTGCAAGACTTTCATGACTAGAATCTAAGAGAGGACAGCAGAGAGATAACTGGACCCTGAAAATGTCTCTCACCAATGTCCCTGGCTCATGAAGGTATCTGTACCTCTACCTCACTGTCTTCCTAGTCCAGCACGAGACTGGGCCTGCTTCCCTGGAGAAACTACCCTGCTCTTCGAGTTCCTCATAGCACTCAAAGTTTGCTACTGATGGACTCTTTTTAGAAATCATCAGTCACACTGAGGCAGGAGCTTCCCAACATGTCCCACTTTGGTTCCTTCCCCCTTGGAGACAGGGATCAATTTGGAACAGAGAGAACAACGTAAACCTGTGCTCTGGGGTTTAACAACATTTCCTAACCACAGTCACGCTCCTCCTTAGAGCCCTGGGTTAATGAGTGGTATGGCCGATTCATGCATGCCTGGAGAATAAACCCCTGAGCTTCCACAGTGCTCTTTGCCAGCTTCTGGCCCTCGTGAAACTGTTAGCAAAGTGGAGGTTCATTTACTGCGGAGATAATATCCATCCCCAAAGACAACAGAGGATTCTTCCCCCACACTCTCCACTGAAAGATAAAACATAAATCCATCCATCCCTGTTCCAAGAACCAAAGCTGAGCTTGTGCCCATCCAGCAGCAAACACCATCTGCCCGAAGCCTTTCCTGTTAGTGGCTTGAAGGTTTTTGGCTCAGGAACGAGACACTTTATTTCCGATGGATCAACACTGTCACCCAGTGGATAGATAGTTCAGGGGCTCAGGCCTAAGCCTTCTCTCAGTTTCACAGCCAGGGTTTAAATGGGAACCTGATTCCAGGAACCTGGGTGAGTGTTCATTTCCTCTGCCAGAAACCATACCAACTCAACTGGGAAGCCTTAGATAGAGATAATACAAGTAACCCTTAACCAAGACATGTATTCCCATTGTGCTGGTTCCTTCTGTTTTTCTCCCCATCAGTAAAGTCATAGGAAACCCAGGCCACAGATCAACCAATCTCCTCTACCAAGACTCCCAGAATCTATCTAACAGGCAGACAGGAGCTGGGTGATCACCAGTGACAGCCAGGTGTACAGGGAGACACCCCTACTACACAGAATGACTCACTGTTTACTATGACAGCAATCTGGGTTTTGAATATATTTTAGGGATTAAATCTGAGGAAAAAAAAATCACTTTTCTATAGCTTAATCAATAGTTGAACCTCTCTATTTCACATAATCTGCGTTCCATGATAGCAGGATAAAACTTCTGGCCTTCTTCCAAACTAACTCGATTTCCACACAAAGCTAAGAGGCTCTGCACCTTTTTGCTAAGTGCGGGTTTCAAGCCACAGCCTCTCCCAGGCTGGCACTCACCCACATAGCACATGCATTGTCTGTGTGTTTTTTAGTGTCCAGTAGCAGGGCTAGGATATCCCTTCATGGGACCCATTGTAGAGCATTCATTAAAGTACTCTCTGTATAAAGCGGAGGATGGGAATCTGAATTCTGATTTTGTCGCTTGCTAGTTCCTGGATCTTGGATGAATTGCTCAATCTGAGTCTCCATTGCTACCTCCTTCCCTCAGGGACAACATCAGGATTGCATCTACCCTCTGAGTTGCTATAAGGGGTTTCCTTCCTTCCTTCTTCCTCTCCCTCCTTCCATCTCTTCCTCTCTCCCTCCCTCCCTTCCTTGCTTCCTTCATCAGGGGAAAGGCAGGGTTTTGCTGCCATAACACAACTGACCTTTAACTTGTGACAATCCTGAGAGCTTGGATTAAAGACACACCATGCCTCACTTACTCTGAATATTTACATAATAAAACACGCGGAAATTACTTAGCATGGTGTCTGGAGACAGAGTAAAACTCATGAATATGAGTTTTATGAGTTTTTGTGTAGAACTGACTGGATTTAGAGTTGTCTATGAGCCAGTGGGCATATCTGTGCCGGCATTCCTTAAAAGGGTTAACTGAAGAGGCAAGACCCACCTTGGATGTGGGTGGTGGCACCATCCTATGAATAAAAAGGAAAAATGGAGAAAGAAGCCAAGTAGCAGCATTCATGGCTCTCTGCTCCCTAACCGACCAGCTGCCTCAAGAGCTCCCTGCCTTGCCTCACCGTGAGGGACTGCATCCCCAGACTGTGTGAACCACAACAAACCTTCCCTAAATTTCTTCAGTTCCAACACTGCGGAAAATAAACAATACAATAGCAGACCTCCTCTTCCTCCTCCTCTTCCTCCTCCTCTTCCTCCTCCTCTTTGAGACCTGAGTCTCGTGTAGACTAGGCAAGCCTCAAGCTCACAGAGATCTGCCTGTTTCTGTCTCCCAAGTGCTGGGATTAAAGCTGTGCACCACCATGCCTGGCTTTTTAGTATTTCTAGAACATAACTTTTATAAAGTTATATTTCACTAGTTTGCATTTATTGACAAGAAATGAACTTGTGGGTTTGTCCATTTGCTTGCTGAAATCTAGAAGGGTGAACGATCATCCAGGCTGTTGCTTCTCATTAAAATCATTTAGAGGATTTTTTTTTTCAAGACAGGGTTTTTCTGTGTAGCCCTGGCTATTCTGAAACTTGCTCTGTAGGATAGGCTGACCTTGAACTCACCAAGATCCAATTGTGTCTGCCTCCATGGTGCTAGGATAAAAAGTGTGAGCTACCATGCCTTGTTTAGATGACTGTCCACAGTGACAGAAAGACGGACTGTGGGATTGATTCATTGACTTCCCTGTGATGTGCCAGGAGCTGAAACAAACTTAATTGCTGTCCTGAATGTTTCTAGTAACCTTATGAATTCATTGTCCTTTTTAAAAACTTAAGAGACTTATTTCATTTTCTTTTCATTATTATTATTATTATTTTATATTTTACATATCGATCCCAGTTCCCTCTCCCTCCCAGCCTCCCATGCTCCCTTGAACACCCCCTCAAGTCCCCAGGGAGGGTGAGGCCTTCCAGGAAGGGTCATCTAAATCTGTCAAGTCATTTGGAGTAGGGTCTAGGCCCTCCCCCCTGCCTCTAGGCTAAGGGAGTTTCCCTCCATGGGGAATGTGCTCCCAAAGTCCTTTTGTGCACCAGGAATCCATCCTGGTTCCACTGTCAGAGGTCCCATTTCTTTCATTACACAAGACAAGTAATATATACCGCTCCCTTAGATAAAGCTAAGAAAATGTGTTTTTCAATCACTCCCTTCTTTTGTAATGGATGCTAATCTGCCTGCAGTCACACAGGCAAATAGTGGAACCCAGGTTGGAATTCGTCTGTTCTCAAAGTTCATCTTTACCTCACAAGGCTCTCACTGGTGCAGTTGTTCTACTCAGTTTTAAATGTCCTTATATAAATTTTTATATCCTTATTTCCTCGGCTAGCTCATTACATAACATTTTCATGAAAGATTTATTTAGTTTATGATGTATATATAGTGTTCTGCCTACACGGATGCACGCTCACCAGAAGAGGGCACTAGCTCTCACTACAGATGGTTGTGAGCCACCATGTAGGTGCCGGGAATTGAACTCAGGACCTCTGGAAGAGCACCCATTGCTCTTACCAGTGCTCTGAGCCATCTGTCCAGGTCCCTCACACAAGCATCGTAAAGGTGAGAATTGACTTTAGTCACTTCAGCCATCTCCATGTCAACTCACAAGGGAGATGATTTGGCACCTCTATTTTAAGAGGGTTTAATTTCTAACTTCTTATGAGTAGCACTCAAGAAGACCTACATTCGGTGTTATTACAAGGACTAGAGCGAATGGTCTTTGAGTCGGGCAATCAGCATAGTCAGCAGGCAGCACAATGTCATGGATGTCCACACATACCAAAAAAATTCCCGGGGTGAGGTTGTGTCTTCGAACTAGGAGTGGGCAACCAGCTTCCGTAAACTTAGATGCAGATGTGACATCATATTTGAGCAACCGAAAGGAATCCAAATGATTCTACAGGAAAAGAAAAAGAGAGGTTAGGTTGGGGTTTTAGTATTGTTTGTCCTGTTTGTTTGTTTTTGTTTTGTAGGGTTTTTTTTTTGTTTTGTTTTGTTTTTGTTTTTTTTGTCTTGTTTGTTCTTGACACTCTTACATCATCCCAACTAGCCTCAAACTCACTATGTAGACAAGGCGGCCATAAACTCACATAGACCTACATGCCCCCTGAGTTCTGGGATTAAAGGCCTGTACTATTCCATCATACTAAAAAATAACCCAAAGAGCTTTGCCCCATCCAACAGCATTCATGTCCTCAAACCCAAAATTCTAGACTCCGAATGTCCTACTCCAAGCAGAGCTACCTGGATGCTCACTGTGGATTGAAGGCATGAGCTGCCGCAGCGGGCCGTCTATATGTTTTCGCTGTTTGTTATCATGCAGTCCTGAGTTTACACTGTATGTGCAAGCAAAGGGAAAGAAGAAACCCAGGCAGCTACCGACCATTCTCCTACCAGTGAAAACAAACAGGATATCCTCACGGGAATAAAGCTTTCTAGTTTCTCATTCAGAGGGATGACTTTTCCTACTGGGTTTCAGACAGGGCCGCTGGACCTGCAGCAAATAATGGCACCCCCCCCCCAGACGCTGTTCAGGGCACACAAAAGGCAGCACCCCAGAGATGGCTCGCCAGAAGCAGCGAGGGCTTTGACAGGGTGCAGACCTTTAGCTTTTGCAGGTTCAACCTGCTCAAGAGCAAGCATCGTGTGCTGAGTCATTCCCTAAGAATAGTTCTGGGGTTATCCTGGCGAGCCAAGCAGAAGAAACCTGAACTGCATCCAAAGGGAAGTCCTTAGGCATCGGGCAGCGGTTCTCAACCTGGGAGTCGCATGTCAGATGCCCTTCATATCAGATATTTGCATTACAGTAGTAAATGTACCGTTATGAAGTGTTAATAAGATAATTTTATGGTTGGGGGGGTCAGTGCAACACAGGGAACTGTATTAAAGGGCTGCAGCATTGGGAAGGTTGAGAACCCCTGCCTTAGAGGATAAGGAGACGAGCATGGGCATGTCCATGTTTAAAGAACATCCTGTAATAAGTAGGAAGTATCAGAGGAACCAAGACAGTAAAACAAGTCAGAATTGAAAGGAAGGGACATTTGGTGGAGGAGAAAGTTACATTGATAAAGCCAGTAACAATTAGTAAGCTTTTGTACATGGCTACTGAGATCAACTGGCAGAAACTGCTTGGTGTAGAAAAGAGTTCATCATCAAGTCTAAGCTCAGATGAGAAGATGGATGGGTTAGTGATGTCTGCCACAGACAGAATGGGAGGATATTGGCAGATAGATAGATGTGAACTAATGGTAGACACAGAATGAGAGGGTATTAGCAGATGGATAGTTTTTAAAGTTCCTATCCTCTGACAGAAGAAATGTTTTTTTTTTTTTTGTTGTTGTTTTTTAAGAGTACAACAACCATCTAGAAAAGATAAAGCTAATTTATGAATACAAAGGAATAAGAATATGATTACCTGGGCTTGACTAGTTTAACAGATTATTTACTAGGAAGGAAAGAGAAAGAGAAGACTTTTTTCAGGCCTGGAAATATTCCATATCTTCATCTGAATGGTAATATACAGGTACTGTGTATACTCCAAAATCCATAGTGCTATATACCCATTTTAACCCATTTTGTGTTGCCATAACAAAATACCTGACACTAGGTAAAGTATGTCTATTTCTTTTTTAAGTTGTTTATTTGGCTGTTGATTCTGGAAGCTCTCTGAGGAGGTGGGGGAATATAGGGAGAAATGTCTGCGTGCAGAAGGAGCCAAATGCATGGAGTAGTCTAATTTTATGATTTATTTTCATAAGAACTAATATGGTCTCATGAGCCCTAGAAAACTCCAGAAGGAAAGTACTAATCTTTTCTAGGGGCTGTGCCCCTAGGATGTAATCATCTCCCACCAGGCCCTTTCTCTTCAAGTTTCTGGCACTTTTGTTGGGAGAAAAAAGCATATCCAAACCAGAGCAATTCCATGAAGACTTGTGACTTTATTCTACAAATGCATTATAAATGCCAAAGTACAACAGAAGGGAGCCAGAAGTCCTTCTATAGTCCTTTGTGTGTCTGAGGGACTGTGATGAAATGAAACACACAAGCTAACGTGTCCCACACTTTGTCCCAGTGACACGCACCTGAATACAAGGCATGTTCCTGTATTTGTTTATCTCCTTGTACAGGTCAGTCACTTCTTCTGTAGTCCTGTCCTCTTTCTTAGCCGAGAACACACAGACTACGATGATCTGATCCATATGGGACAACTGGTTGCTTATGAGGTAGTCATACTCTAGGTCTGTCACTTCGGGAATGACTTGGCTGCTACATTTGCATCTGGCCCCTTCCTCCCCACGCATGGTCTTCCTCAGAACCACAGGACAAGCCAGCTGGGAAGAACACCACAAATCCTTCCTTTTTGCAAGAAGAGGAAGCCTGCAAACAGAGCGATAGGAGTCAGGTTAAGGTGCTGAAAGGCATAAAGTGGACCCCGAGTCTTGTGTGGGTGTGTTGGCAAGGCATCAAGACTAATTTTGGACAGCATTTGTCAGCATGCTAAACAAACAAATGTAAGCCTTTCCGGCTCTGTAGGGCAAACACAAGTGACCCGTAAGGTAACACCGGAGTGTTGACTGCACTTTAACATGTGTGGTAAGAATGCACGATCTCTTTATTTAGAAACAGAGGACAGACCCTAACACACTGAAAAATGAAGTTAAAAAATGTCAATAATCCGACCCAAACTCCACAAAAACAAATAACGGAGTTGGAAGCTGAACTTCTATGCATGTTTGCCACCCTAGTCCAGCCATCTCAGTCACTCCTGAAGATGCCATTCCTTTAACATACTTGTGAGTTAGTTGTTTTGTCTATTAATAGACTGTGGGGATCTGAATGAGAGTGACCCGAGAGGCTCACATATTTGAATTTGAATAATCACCAGGGAGTGGATCTATTTTAGAAGAATTAGATGAATTAGGGAGTATGTATGGCCTTAATGGAGTGGATGTGACCTTGCGGGGTGGGGGGTGTCAATGGGGTGGGGGTGTCAATGGGGTGGGGGGTGTCAATGGGGTGGGGTGTCAATGGGGGGGTGTCAATGGGGTGGTGTCAATGGGGTGGGGTGTCAATGGGGTGGGGGGTGTCAATGGGGTGGGGTGTCAATGGGGTGGGGGTATGTCAATGGGATGGGGGTGTCAATGGGGTGGGGTGTCAATGGGGGGGTGTCAATGGGGTGGGGGGTGTCAATGGGGTGGGGGTGTCAATGGGGTGGGGGGTGTCAATGGGGTGGGCTTTGAGGTTTCAAAAGCTCACACCAGTCCCCTCTGCCTCTGCTCTCCCCGGATAAGGCTGTAAAGCTCTCAGCCACTGCTCAAGCACCATGCCTGACTGTCCTCTGACATGATAATCATGGACTAACCTAAAACTGTGAGCAATTAAATGTCATGGTGTCTCTTTACAGCAATAGACACTAAGACATAGACAAGATAAGGCAAGTAACTTAATAGATTGGAAATCGGGAAGGTGAATTCCAGTCTGTCATCTATCACTTGAAATGTGACTTAAGTCTCTCACTGCTTTGAACCTTGGTATTCACATCTGTTTGTGAAAGTTTATGTTTTCGCCACACTTCCAGGGAAGTAATGAATATTTGTGTGTGTGTGCGTGCGTGCGTGCGTGCGTGTGTGTGTGTGTGTGTGTGTGTGTGTAATACAACTTCATAAACATGGATTAGTTTTTATGAGATGCTAAAATCTGTTTAAAATTCAGTATTTTCATTACTAACAATTATAAATCCTAGTAGTAAGGATAGCACATTTCATTCTCATTAAAATATTCACCATTGGCTTCAGTTTCTTTGTTCTGAAACCAATTATTGTGAATCTAATGTTTGTAGCTCCTTAAAACGTGTATGTCAGAGCTGGAGGTGTAGCTCAGTTGGTAGGATGCTTGCCTAACATACATGACCTTCTTGACCTTCTTGACTCCACCCCCAGCACCACACAGACCAAACATGGTGGCCCATACCTGTGAATCTTAGCACTCAGGTGGTGGAGGCAGGATAATGGTTTTTGAGGCCAGCCTGCATTACATGAGTCTAGCCTGGGCCAATAAGACCATGCCTCAAAACAACAGCAATAAGTTTATTTGTTGAAGTCCCAACCTTCAGTGCACCTGCACTAAAGACAGGCTCTTTTGTGCGAAGTGACTTAAGGTTAAATGACATTGTAAGAGCGCAAACCTGACCTGACAAGATTAATGTTCTTATAAGAAGAACCAGAGAGCTTTTTCTCAGTTGCTCTCTACCTTTTGGGTGGGTGGGTGGGTGGGTGAGGGAATTGAGACAGGATCTCTCAATATAGTTCTGAATAATCTGAAATTTGCTGTGTAAATCAGGCTGACCTCAAACTCATTGAGGTCTGCCTGCCGCTGCCTCCCAAGTGTTGGAACTGAATGAAGTCTACCTTTTTTTTGGACAGGGTCTCTCACTGAATTTGGAGCTCATGAGTTCTGCTAGGCTGGTGAGCCAATAAGCTCCAGCTCCTGCCTATACCCATGTGCCTGGTGTTGGCATGGGTGCTGGGAATCCAAACTTAAGTTCTCAAGCTTTTGAGGAAGTCACTTTGCTGAATGAGCCGACGTCCCAGCCCCTCCGAGTTACTGTTACCAGACATTGTTCTGAATATAATTCCTTATGGCAACCGAAGGAAAGAAAAACAGGAGATAGGGGGAGTTATCTGTCTGTCTGTCTCTCTCCCTCTGGCATTAAAGGTGGTAGACACAGCATTAGTATTTGACATGTGTGTCTTATTTAGTTGCTCCATGACCTCTTGAAGTAGGTACTATTATCGGCAGGCTCTTGAAGATTTCCTTGCTAGTACAGCTCTGCTATTAGCATTGTGTCCTCTATCTACGGTCAGCCTGTCCATCACATGTCACACACAAGATTTAGCAGGAAATTGAGCCACAGCAAGAAAACCATAAGGAGCAGCGATCTCACTGAAGATGAGCTTTCTCTAGCATGGCTAGTTTTAAATCATGGGTGAGCGAAGGCTTGAAGCCCTTTTACTCCAAGATTTAAACTTTAAGTGTGGATCTACAACTTTGGCTACATTTATTTTGTAAACACAAATGAAGACTCCGCTATGTGTCAACTTCAAGGCCTCACTGACGCCTATGCTACCAAGTCACAAAACCAAGATGGCCTTTAAATGTGCAATGGGTTTGTACTTCACTGGGGCCCACAGCTGGTGGCACGTTTGAAGGATGTGGGTGGGGCCCAGCTAGCAGAGATGGGTTGTTAGGAGCAGGGCATCGAGGGTTCCAGGCTCGGCCTGCTTCTGCTCCCATTTTCTTTGCTTCCTGGCCCACCAAAAAGCTTGAGCCACGCCCCCTGCTGTGCCGGAGTGGTAGCTCCTAAAATTGCATATGAGAATAAACACTTTCTCTTCTAAGACATCCATCAGGTATTTTCACAGCTGTGAGGAAAGCAGCTAAAGGAGCTTAGAAGGGTGGCCGTCAATAACCCAGCCTGCACATGTATGTTAAACCACCTAGAAGACCCTACTGAGCCCACGTAAAAGGGCTGAAAGGGTCATGGAATGCAACCGTTCTCAACCTGTGCGTCCCCATCCCTGTGGGGTTACATAGCAGATATCCTGCACATCAGATATTTACATTATACTTCACACAGTAGCAAAATTAGAGTTATAAAGTAGCATTGAAATAATTTTATGGTGTGTGTGTGTGGGGGGGGTTAACCACAACATGGGGAAGTGTATTACAAGGTTGCAGCATTAGGAAGGTTGAGAAGCACTGATCTAATGTATGTCAAGCATGAGCCAGACTTCAGATGGCTAAAATAAGCGGGGCGGGTTACCGGGAACCGTGGTTGATGGTTGAGGTCCTTTGGACATAATGGTAAGCTGAAGGCTTGAAGAACTCCCTCAGCGTCAGGAAGGTATTTCTGTAGCGGAGATACTCCCTGTACCAATCGGCTTCGTCTGCGTTTTGACTCAGATCAGGCATTGCACAGTTAACCTTTGGTTTTCTGACCACTCTTTTGGCAAACATGGGCAGTCTGCAAACATGTAGTGATTCCAGTCCTGAGATGAAAACAGAACACATCCCACTAAACACCGTCAGCAGGGCAAAGACACTTGTCGGCTGGGCTAGATAGAATATGGTGGGTGCCATAGCTGAAATATTTCTTCATCACATATAAAGTCTCCTCTCCACTGATACACCACCACCCCGACCATGGGTACTCTTGTCTTCTCTAAGGAAACACATGGGTGTTATAAACAAGGACGATATCTAGGTCATCAACAAATGCAATCCATAGGAGCTAGTATTTATATTGTGTCAGGGAATGAACCAAGTATTTTAAAATATATAATCCTATTCAAGTAGTACCCTAACATGTGGCCTTTGATAGCTATTGGGGTTTGTTTGTTTGTTTGGTTGGTTGGTTGGTTGGTTTTCAAGACAAGGTTTCTCTGTATAGCTTTGTAGATCAGACTGGCCTCGAATTCACAGAGATCCACTTGCCTCTGCCTCCATAGTGCTGAGATTAAAGGTGTGTGCCACCACGGCCTGGTGATATCCACGGGGTTTGAACTGAATGTTTTATAGATATGCAATGTCTCCTTCAAAAGGTATATTTGTACTGGGTTGTAGAACATGCCTCCACTCTGGAGGCAGAGGCAGGTGAATCTCTGAGTTCAAGATCAGCCTGGTCTACAGAGCAAGTTCCAGGATAGACAGGGCTACACAGAGAAACCCTGTCATGAAAAACAAAACAAACAAACAAAAACAACAACAACAACAACAACAAAAAGGCTCATTTGTTGAAGACTTGATTCCAGTGCGGTACTCAAAGATGGGGTATGGGGACAATTTGAATGATGAAGGCACTGAGCTACTCAACAGATTACTCCATTGACAGATTTATAATTTGATGGTATTACTAAAAGGCAGTGAGATCTAAGAGGTAGGTCCAGTAGAAGTCACTGGAGAAGTATTTGAAGGGCATATCTTCTCTTCAGGCCAGTCACTCATTCCCTCTCCCCTCCCCCAGCTCTGATCTGCCTGAGAGGGAGCATCTTCCCTCCCCATTCCCATGGCTAAGAGGCTCTGCCTCTTCACTTTAGGCCCATA